AGCCCGCCCGAGGGCGGGGCCTCAGGACCGGTAAACCTGGATTTGGATTGATCATGTAAACAGTCAAGCTTTCTGCTCACTGACCAGCCTGTCTGCTCCCTTTTCTATCTCTAAACGTACCTTTTGTCTCATTTCCACGTGGGTATGGAAAGGCTTAGACGAAACACTTAGAATATGTCCACTCATAAACTAAACAGTAACATGACTGCCTACTACGTGCCAAGGGCTGTTGGCATATATCCGTTGACTGTAATAGCACAATCTTCTGCGCTCGAGTAGCTTAGCCATTCTTGAGATGGGAGACAGACAACAAACATTAAGCATCATAAGTAAATCAATAGAATAAGGTTTATACCCATTTTCTGGCCTGTTTTTTTTTCTTCCTTCCAATTCTCTTCCAATTTTGGGTCATGCATAATTTGGACTTGGTAGGAAGGGACAGTAAATGCACAAGATATCACGATGAAGTTATTCTATCTAGGTTCTTGGAAGCTGCCACCCAGAGTCTACCTTACTAAGATTATGCATAAATAAAACAATAAACAAATAATAAAGCACATGCAAGTGATTCATGGCTCCAGAATCTCAACTGAATCTAAAAATCCAGCAAAATAACCAAATTGCATGCATTTACTTTTTCTTTCTTTCTTTCTTTTTTTTTTTCTTTCCTTTTTCGAGACAGGGTTTCTCTGTGGTTTTGGAGCCTGTCCTGGAACTAGCTCTTTTAGACCAGGCTGGTCTCGAACTCACAGAGATCCGCCTGCCTCTGCCTCCCGAGTGCTGGGATTAAAGGCGTGCGCCACCATCGCCCGGCTCATGCATTTACTTTTAGAAAAAGAAAATTACGAAGGGGTTTTTAGGTGGGGACTGCTAAAATGAGAACTGTCGCATATACATTGGAATTCAGCTACCCTTAGGATTAAAAATGTGTATGAAACAAATTGTGTGTGATGTTTATTGCTCCTTTTGTGTTGCTTGTATATATTAGATCATTTCCCAACACCGGGTCCCATTTGTTAATATGTCGGGTTGGCCGACCGGGCAAGAGGAGACAGTTTGCTGGGGTAGCTGTGGAGATCCACCATGGCAGTAGCTCTCCATTACAGAGTCCTGAAGCCTTCCTGCTGGGAGGTGAAGGGGCTGGACTGGACGGTGTCCTTGGCAATATTCGAAAACAACACTAAACAGTGTATCCGACTGATGTCATTTCTCTAAAACTCATTTAAAATAAGTTTCCCTATAGATTCCAAACCCATTAAGCATCATATGGACAGAACACCATATGGTGTACAAAGATGAATGATACATCATCTCTGCCCTCAAAGAGTTCTTTATCGTAGACAAATGTGAGCACAGAATGACAAGATAATGTGCAATGTGGTAATGCATTTCATACACATTCTTGGGAGTTCCTCACGAACCAGCCCTGCATTATAACAAGACAGAAAGCGTTGTGAAGAAGCAGAGATTAATTCTGACTGGAAAGACTGAGAAAGGGCTTGTGGAGAAGACCGCATTTTTCCATAGTTACAGAGTCACAACCAGAAAGTGATGTCGCCAGGATTTAGTTTCAGGCAGCCAGTCCAAAGTCCACTCCCAAAATACGGCCTCCTACCACTCCCCAGCTTGTGGGTAAAGTTGTGCCCATCAGCAAGAAGGTAAAAGTGGTTGTGATGAAGCCGGGAGCACTCTCCGCCATGTGCACGTCAGGACCTCTGGGGAACCTTCTGAATATATATGCCCACATTTTATTCCCATTGCTTCCCACTGCACAGCCATGGTTGAGAGCTCCTGAGATTGCCTCAGGTTGCCTCAGGTTATTAAAGGGAGACAGGACTACAGGGATATTCTACATCTAAAGTGGAAGATAGAAAATGGTTCGAGGCCAGCCTGTTCTACAAGGTGAGTTCCAGGACAGCCAAAGCTACACTGATAAACCGTGTCTCAAAAAAAAAAAAAAACAAATAAAGAAAAAACAGAATAATTATGGAAGAGAAACTATAGATCAAAAGGCAGAATGATTTATTAGTTAGTTAAATTTAATCATTTTACAATGTATACTTGTATCAAAACCTCACATTTTATATTATTTTTTTTTTCTTTTTGGATTTTCGAGTCAGGGCTTCTCTGTAGCTTTTGGTTCCAGTCCTGGAACTAGCTCTTGTAGACCAGGCTGGTCTCGAACTCACAGAGTTCCTCCTGCCTCTGCCTCCCGAGTGCTGGGATTAAAGGCGTGCACCACCACTGCCCAGCCCACATTTTACATTATTATATATATAAGTATGTATATATGATTTGTATATCTTCCTGTTGTTTATGTGTGTATGTGGACACGCATGTGGAGGCCTAAGGACAACCTGAAGTGTCGTTTTCCAGGTACAACTCCTTTTTTTCTTACTGCAGCATCTCTCGCTGCCCTAGAACTTGCTGAGGAGGCTAGACTGACTGGCAGGGAGCCCAGGAGTCACCTGTCTTTGCGTTCTCAGAAGCAGGATTACAAATCTGTGCCACCAATTCTGGCTTTTTAAAATGTGGGTCCTGGCAACTGAGTCAGGTCTTGACTAAGCGATCTCCACAACCACAATGTGTACAAGTTTTAAAAGACCTACTTTGTGAATTTGTGCTGCTTCTTTTCTGTTTGAGACAGAGTTTCTGTGTAAACAGTCCTGGCTGTCCTAGAATTCATTATTTATTTATTTATTTATTTATTTATTTATTATGTATACAATATTCTGTCTGTGTGTATGCCTGCAGGCCAGAAGAGGGCACCAGACCTCATTACAGATGGTTGTGAGCGACCATGTGGTTGCTGGGAATTGAACTCAGGACCTTTGGAAGATCAGGCAATGCTCTTAACCACTGAGCCATCTCTCCAGCCCCTAGAATTCATTTTGTAGACCAGGCTGACCTCAGACTCACAGAGAGCCGCCTGCCTCTGCCTCCCAAGTGCTGGGATTAAAGGCGTGCACCACCACCGCCCGGTTTGTGTTTCATTCTTGAGCAGTAGCTGTGCTAATCTTAGTATCAATTTTTAGTGTACATGATTCCAAAGTACTATATAAACTTTTTAATTTGTAATCTCTCCCTCCTTCCTCCTTCCCTTCCCCACTCTTTTGTTGCTTGGGAATGGAATCTAGGTCCTGTGCATTCTAAGTATACCTTCTACAACTGATTGTAAGCCCAAGCCCTGTTAATATCTCAAGAAAGCTAGGAAAGAAGGTTTTAGAATCCTCATTTAGAAAACAACAAGGACAGATTTGGGACGCAGGTGCTGATGGTGAAGAGGGTAAAGCCATCCATCCCACAAGAAACACAGGCAGAGCATGAGAGGATACAGCTTATTATGAGAAAAAACTGCAGCTGTAAATGCAGTAGAATTTGTAGGTCAATTGGAAGAGATGGCTAGAAAGAGCTAGGAAGATGATGTATGCTTTGAGGGGGAGAGGACATGAAATAGAGAAACAGCAGACAGAGAATATGGAGATCACCAGTGTTCGGTCCCACAGATTGGGGCTCCTGGGAAGCTGTCATGAGAAGGTGACAGGTGAGTAGTTAGAAATTTATAACTGAGAAGACTATCGCTAAGCAGGGGATGTTTTTACAAAAACATTTATTTTTATTTCATTTGCATTGGTGTTTTTTTCTGCGTATATGACTGTATGAGGGTGTTGGATCCACAGACAGTTGTGAACTACTATGTAGGTGCTGGGAATTGAATCCAGGTCCTTTGGAAGAGCCGCCAGTGCTCTTAACCACCGAACCATCTCCCCAGCTCCCCAAGGAATATGTTAAAATAAACATAGACAAAATTCCAGATTTCAGCATCTGGGTAGAGATAAGGAAGAGAATGCCTCTAACTGCATATACAAGGAAGAACATCCAAACTTAGGAGGCCAATAAGGGGAAAAGTATAAATGCCTGAAACCTTAATAGAAGTAGATGGAGCAAGGCTGAGAAAAAAGAGAGCAAGAGGACACAGGAGTAGTGAGGATAGCATGAACAATAAAACAGAGACAGAGAGTGGGGTTCAACCTGAAGATCAGAAAAGCAAAGCAGCCAGCCAGGAGAGAGCTTTTATCTCTAAGAAATCCTCAGACTAAAGAGAAAGAGTTCCTGTCTCATCCTGGTTTATGTTCCTCTCTAGTGCCAGGGTTAAAGGTGTGAGCCACCACTATCAGAATCTATTTCTGAATCGGTCTTGTGTAGTCCAGGTCGGCCTTGAACTCACGGGGATCCATCTGCTTCTGTCTTCCAAATCCTGGGATTAAAGGTGTGGGCCACCACAGCCTGTCTTCTAATGGTTTAGTTTTACCTTCTGGTCTTCAGGCGGCTTTATTTAGAAGACATAAATGAAATCTCACTATAGGGAATTGAGGTTTTTTTTTTTTTTTTTTTTTTTTTTTTGCTTTTTCGAGACAGGGTTTCTCTGTGGCTTTGGAGCGGGAATTGAGTTTTAAGGCAATGAATGATCAACACCGTCCAGCGAATAGGCTGCAGAAATAGAAGCTTGCCTTCTTGCCTTTACTCGTGGGAAGGACTCTGTTATGGTTTTGGTCCCTTTAAGAGACAAGCCACACCCATTCCCCTCCCCATCCGCTGAGGCAGGCTGATCTTCAGCTTCCTGCCTGAGCTCGTTCTCTTTTCCAACTTCCTCTCAGAGAAGCAGCTTCGTTTCTGCCTCTCTCCCCACTTCTCTGCTTCCCCCTTCTCTCTCTTTCTCCTCCTCCTCTTCCTCCTCCTCCTTCTTCTTCTCTCTCTCTCTCCCTCTTTCCCCCTTCACCCCTCCTCCTCCATAACCCCCTGAATAAGCATTCAACCTCACCCTGCATGTCGTGTCTCTCCATGTTTCTGTCTTCTGCCTGCCTGCCATGTGTCTCCCTGCCTGGAACTAGCCATTGCTCAGGGACCAGTAGCCTACTCTGCCTGGGGCCTACTGCCTGCTGCCACATGGCCCACCACCACTGCTCTGAGACCAGCAGCCGTCTCTGCCTGGGACTGGCTGCTCCCAGGGCCTACTGTCTGCCTCCACATGGCCCACCGCCACCGTTCAGGCCACCACTCTGGGACCGGCAGCCTTTTCTGCCTGGGACTGGCTGCTCCCAGAGACTGCTGCCTGCCACCACATGGCCTGCTGCCACCATTTGGGACCTACAGCATTTCTGCTGCCTACTGCTGCGGGGATCTTGCTGCATTTTTAAAAAAGAACAACAGACATGAATAACTGTGCAGTTAACAGGTGAGCAGAAGTCAGACTGCAGGGGCCTGGACAAGGAGGAGGGATAAGGAAAAGTGTGTGTGTGTGTGCGCGCGCGCGCGCAGGCCTATATCCCAGCCTGGGGGAATCTGAGGCAAGCTGATTACAAAGGCAGGAGGGCCAGGGGGCTGGACAGGGAGCCTGTCTCAAAACAAACACAAACAAAACAAAACAGAAGAAGAAGAGAAACAAGTAGGAAGGGAGTCCAGCGAAGTGAAACTTTTTTGCACGAAGAAGTCATGCATATTTTAAAACCAGAGATTAACACGGAGGGTCCTGAAAGTAGTTAAAAGGGATGGATGCATAGGGAAAAGCCATAGAAGAAGACTTTAAGCAGGGAGAAGCTGAAATTTCCCTGGGCCCGAGTCACTGGGAAAAGTCTGCAGTGTGGAGAGGCAAAAGGGACAACTGGGAATGAAAACAACGACCGACAATCTGCCCTAGAGAGCCCACCAAGGAATTTCTATGTAGCACAGAAAAGCTGACATCTGATATTTTGAAGGATTAACGGGACTGCTGTCCACTTTATTTCCCACGTGCACGAATCTTCTGCTTAGTTACAGGAAAAAACCGAGCTGTCTGTTCCAAAAAGCTTATCCAAATGAACTGAAGCACGAAGAAGACAAATAAACCCTCTTCTGATGTCGAAAAGTTACAGGGGATCATTTACTGTTGAAATCAAGCTACGCTCATTATTGGCGATCTGGTACTTAACTTTATTATCATTACATTTGGCTGAGTCATTCCGGGGCCCAAAGTAGAAACGGTCAGATTTACCTCATAAGAGTAAAACATTATAATAGTATCATAATTAGATTGGCCTTAGAAACTACCCTGGGACGATAACACGTAACAAAATAAAAGTAAATCTGATCGCAAGCGCCAAAGCATTGCAAGGGGAGAACAGCCCAGGAGCATATAGCCTGGAGCTTTGCAGCCCTACCTGGGGCCTGGGAGTAGCAGCCAAGTGCGCTCAGAAGGGCAATCAGCAGTCCCACTCCCGCTAGCCGGGCGAATCCCCGAATCTTGTGGCAGGGTGACTCTGCAGCCCATCTAGGGGCTCCACCCTTCTCCCTAAGGTCTGGGAGCATCGTTCTCAAGGAATGCAAGTTCTTTGATGTAGCCCCTGAAAAGCCTCTTCTCCCCTCGCCCCAAGGGCAGCGCTGATCTGAGCTGCAGAGTTGGCTGCACCCTGCGTCAAGTGACCCGCCGGCACTCTTACCCCACCTTCCTCCACCCCAAACCCATCTTCGGGGTAGCGCCGGATCGCTTGTGGACTGCGCCTGCGCTTGTCTGGGATTGGAAGGTCGCAACCAGAGGCGGCGCTCTGGTCTCCAGGCAACGGGAATAACAGAGGTGGACAAGAGCGCCTGCGCGAACGGCAGTTGGGTTTAGTCAGGTGTGGAAAAAGTGGATCTTGGGGATTTTTCCCTCAGCAGGAGTGGCCCCCAAGCGCCTCAGGTATGCGAAAAGGAGGAGAGACACGGAATCGTTACCACCACCTCCCAAGGGACCGGAGAGTGAGAGTTTGTCTCTAGAGGCCGAATCCCAGCGAGGGTTACCATTTGACCCTCTGGGACAGAGCATAACTTTCAAGTTCCGGATCTAAAGTGGACTGGAGCGCTGAGGAGTCACGCCCCGCGCTCCTATACACTGGTGCCTGGTGCGGTTTGGGCCATAGAGCATCTTTGGATGAGGGTTTGACAGCCAAGCACCTGCTTCAAGCCGGGGCGCCCGGTGCTCTTTGTAGTTCCTAGCAGGGGGAAAGCCCAGGGAGAGAGCTCGGTGCCAGGCCCCGTCGCCAGGTCACTGTTCTCACCCTGTAAAAATGTGGGGCTGGACTCGGAGCAGACTGCAGTTTACAAGAACCGGGGCTAGTAAGAGCAGGTTGCCTGGTTTTTGTTTTGGTTTTTTGTTTTGTTTTGTTTTGGTCACAGATGACCTTTGATCTAAGGCTCTTTCCACCCATTTCACAATAGTGTACGGCAGATCGGACACGGGTGTGGAGGAAAGCCAGCGGCAGAACACCTGTGTCCCGTTCATGGTTTGGTCCTCGGGGATCCCGTTCATGGTTTGGTCCTCGGGGATTAACAATGTCTGGCACATAATCGTCACTCACTAAATAAATGCTTACTGAAGTAAGGTCCTGGCCGATTCCGCACGACGTTTAAAGGGAATGTGGGCAGGGCAAATGTACGAACAGTTTACTCTAGCAGCCTAGCAGCGGGGAGTGAAGCTCAGACTAATTCTTCCCACGTATCTGTTTTAAATCTTCCCCTAGGCTTTGGTCCAGGCCCTGAATGGCTGGTCTCCAGTTGGCTCCACATCTGCCTGTGGGCGTTATGTTCCCACATAATAAAACAGAAGCGCCAGGGCTCCACTCAGCAAAGCGGGACCCTTATGAACAAGGTGACTCTTCCCAGCGGTCCTCGATGGGACACTTGAGGAACAATTTCCAGCAGAAGTTTTGGAACAATACAGAGCCTGAGCCGGAGGAGGGTGTCTCCACTCACCCCAAAGGGAACATGTGCACAAAAGCCCGGAGGCACTCGTGTCCCCAGAGTGCCAGGATCAGCCAGCAGAGCTCAGCAAGCAATCCCCAGGGCCAAGGAAAGGGCTCATTTTCCTTGTCAAACCCTCAACCCCGGTATCCCAAAGCAAATGACCAAGACTTCATTCCCTTGAGGAAGAAACGAGTTGGAGTAGATCGAGCATACCCACTGAAACCCATGGCCCACCGGAAGTCTCATAGTACAGGTGAGGTAGGCACCGATGGGGACCAGAATGCCTATCCAAGACTCCCTAACTCGAGCGAGCTTTCAGACAGCAACTTTGGTTTGAGAAGCTGGTTGAATTCGTCTCTTTTTGCCTCTGTGCAGGCAGAGAAGGTCATGGCGGACCTCCATAGGACCGAGTGGACACAGATCCGAAGACTAGAAGCGGCAGGTGAGACGCTAGAGATGGAAATCCGCAGAAAAGAGAGCCTCCTGAGAGAGAAGCTGAAGAAGACAGAGGAGGGTCTCCGAAGGATTCAGAAGGAAAAGAAAGGGGCCCAGGAGCATGAAGACAGAGAGCTACTAAGAACGACCCTATCTGCAGGGAGAGTTAGGGACCGTAACAGCAACGCCACACAGACACCCAGTTTATCTCCCGAGTTCAGTTCCGAGGAATTCAGTAGAGATAGGGAAGAGGGTCAACCTTGTGAATGGGCTCAGAAAACCTCTAGCCCACTCCAGTTCTCTGATTATGAAATCCAGAGGCTCAAAAGGGAGAGGTTGATGGCAAGTAACAACAAAGTCCGAGACTCAGGGCCTCCCGCAGACGAATTCCTGAAACCTTCAGAAGAGCTGGGCAGCACATTGCAGGCATCAAGCCCGTTGGCATCACCAGGCTCCTTGGGGTCCGGTTCCTCCACAGAAGAGCCAGAGCTGAGCAAGTGCAGCCACTGTGGACGCTCGTTTCTTTCTCTCAGGCTGCAGAGACACTCCACCGTCTGTGGGAAGATGCAAGGATCCAAGAGGAAAGTGTTCGACTCCTCCAGGGCCCGGGCTAAGGGCACAGAGCTAGAGCAGTACTTGAACTGGAAGGGGCCAGCCACCGCCGCCAAGGTAATAAGAGCCTCCTAGGTTTGACTCTGTATGAGGGTGCGTGTAATGGACTGCTGCGTCCTCGCTAGTTCCCGTTGGGAACTGGGACAGTGGAGAGTGGAGGGGAGAATCACAACTTCCCTTTGCTAGTCTCTGTGATCAGAGCTTTCTCTACAAGCCTCACAATTCTGTAAGAATCTTATTGTCTATCATTGTATCCATTCAAAATTCAAGGCTCAGACATCTAAACACGCACACACACACACACACACACACACACACAAGGCTCAGACATCTAAACACATACACATCAGACCTACCCCCTCAACACACACACACACACACACACACACACAAAGCTTGGACAGTTTAAGTAGATTTTTTATCTTTTAGTGTTAGCCTCAGGGACCTGTAATACTAGATAAACAGTCTATTGCTGATCAATAGCCCCTGCTCTTGATCTTATTAGATTTAAATCTTGCTAGAATTGACTCCAAAATCTAGATTTTAAAATATAATGTCCTTTTGATTATTGTAAAAATGAATTCATATTTGCTGCAGGGAAAAAAAACTCATAAAAACAAAATTTTAAAAACTTGCAATTTGAGTTAAAACGAACATGACATTTTTCTGACTTATGAGAATTCCTTGCTTTCTCTCATTTGTCACCATGCTCAGTTGTACCTACTTTAAAAGTGAGCTCAGTTTTGATGTATTCTTAGTAAATTCCAGAAACACATGTAAGTTTGGATCCTCCTCTCCAGTTAGGGTATTAACACCACAGGGATAAAGTACTTGTTTGAGGACTCTTTTTCTTTTTCTTTTCTAGCTAGCTCTCCAAAACATCCCTCACTTTAGAAAAACCCGAATGGGGACCGTTAGGGAGGGATTCACGACATCTGACTGATACGGCTTAGGACTTCGTGGGCTGACTTAGACCCACCTGGAGACCATTACCCCATAGCCAGTCTTTGAGAGTATGCCATTTGGTCTGTAAAATAAGCTTCTCCAGAGTGTTTATTGTAGAAAATCATATTCAGTCTGTGATTTCTGTGGGGTCATGAGTTTAAAAAAATATTAAAAGAATAAGATGAACAGGGTTGGGAAAAACCCACATTAGAGCCTGGCGGTGGTGGCGCACGCCTTTAATCCCAGCACTCAGGAGGTAGAGGCAGGCAGGTCTCTGTGAGTTTGAGGCCAGCCTAGTCTACAAAAGCTAGTTCCAGGACAGACTCCAAAGCTACAGAGAAACCTTGTCTCAAAAAAACAAAAACAAAAACAAAAAACAAAAAACCAAAACAAAACAAAAACAAAAACCCATGTTAGGTGATCTCAAAGGCCCCCATGTAACAGTATGGGGAAAAAATAGAACATATTTTGGTTTCATGTCTTCCCAAAGCATGTGAGCCCGCATGGGCTCTCCCTCTTCTCCCTCCCCCTCCTTGCAGGCTGGCCTAGAACTCACTATGTAGACCAGGCTGGCCTCAAACTCACCTGTCTGTTTTCCAAGTGCTGGGATTAGAGATGTGGGTCACTGCATCCAGTTCCCAGTTCTCTCTTTTCAGGACTTTCCAGTTTAAATGTCCTCTCACTGGAGCCTTTAAAGACACCCACTGGTGTGATGGATGTTCGAAGAAAACTTAATAATTATAGTGTTTTCGCTCAGTACAATTTGAGAGATCGCCACAAGAATGTCTCCCGCATGTTTAGAGATAATGTTCCTAAAATCCAGCTTCCAACAAGAAGTCAGCATTTTGCAGACTGTGGGAGTTGGTTCTCTTTTTTCCCCCACATGGGTTTTGGGGGTTTGATGACAGGCGCCCTCACCCACTGCGACATCTTGCTGGACCCACCTTTATTTTAAATAGGTAAGTATACACATCTGAGACACCGTGTGATTAAATGATCTATGACGCACTCTTACTTCGTCCTTTTCAGGTTCCTTCTTGAGTCTCAGTTGTGTAATATGTCTTCTGGCATGCGTTTCCAGGATTCTAAATAATACACTTATTTTCTTGATTTGCCAACCCTCCGTGTCCTCTGATGGCTGCTCATCCTCACAGACGAAGCTCTGTCTCAGTCCCTCTCCCCCTTTCCTTCTCCACTATTTCCCCTTTCCACTCTAGTTGGCCGTGGTTCTGATTTAAAACAGTGGGACTTTACACGACCATTATACCATCTCCTTCACTGATATTGGAGCAAATTCCGCTCCTGCCCACGTGAACTTGGGGTTAATACTGACTAACTTTCCTTCAATCACTCTGTACTTACAATTACAATTAGTCTGTACTTAAAACCTTCCCTAACTAACCTTCTGGATGCTAGGAATTTGTTACTGTCTTTTTCTAAGTGTCCAGATACCTTTTTACGACAAATCAGTTTGAGGTGCCCCCACCCCATTCTGGAAACTCCTCCTGCTCTATCTGATCTGGCCATTCTTTGGCTTTGGAACTTCCCTCTGCTTCTCCTGTGTTGGTCCTGTCTTTTTCTTGTTTCCCTGTTCATTGTTTTGCTGAAATTTACCAAGAGATACACATAGATGGTATATTCTTATTCATGGACTTAAAGAAAATATCTACATAAACGCTTCCTATTTGATGATTTGACTGGGTATATCAGAACTTCGTTTTGGAGACATTGCCTCACTCTGTAACCCTAGCTGGCCTGAAGCTCAGAGATCAGCCTGCCTCTGCCTCCATGCCTGGCCCTTTATTAGAACTCTGTTTTTTTTGTCAAAAAACAAATTTAATAAAAGCTATAAAAATAGAAAAGAGACATTTCATGATCCCTCACTTTATTACAGAACTTTAAAGACGGTATTTCTTTGTCGCTTTGATTACCTAGTGTTTATTGTTGAGAACTCTTAATTTTTTGATTCCTGCTTCATTTTATGAAACCTATTTTGTTTCATTTTCCAAAGCCAACAGGGTTTTCTTTAAAATTTTAAGATTTTATAGTGTTTGCTTCAGAGCTTTGATAAGTCATTTCAGTTTCAAGACTTGTGATCTTTGAGTCTACAAGTACTAATTATATTATTTAATAGCTTCCTCTCGTACTTTCTGTCCTTATTGGAACAAGTTTGCTCACATGTCAAACTTCCCGAGCTGATTTTCCGATCATATCTACTGTCCATCTGCTTCTCTTTTTTCCATTCTGAGTGTTTTTCTTTATTATTTTGTCATGCTTCTATTTGAGTTTTGACTATCAGGCTTTCAATTTATAGTTATTGTTATTTTATTTCTCTGGTTGTTCATCTTTCATAATACACTCCTTTTATGGACAAAATCTTTCTTTTAAAAATATTTATTTTGTTTTATATATATGGGTGTTTTGCTTGTGCATATGGCTGCACCATGTGTATGCATTGCCAAAGGAGGCCAAAGAAGGCATGGTATTCACGTGGGACCTGGGAATCAAACCTGGGTCCTCTGCAAGAACAGTCAGTGCTGTTAACTGCTGAGCTATCTCTATACTCTGGACACAATATCTTTTAATACTTCATTGATACCATATTTTCCTGTGAAGATATTTCTGTGTGTGTGCGTTTGTGTGTGTGTTTCAGTTTCCCGAGTTTTTGTTCTTGTGCTTTGCGGACCTTTTCTCTTTAGTTAAACACTCATCAAGGACCTCACAATCCTTGCCTGTTCATTTGGTGGTTTTGTTTTTGATTTTCATTTGAGAACAGCGTCTCATCATTTGGTCCTGGTGACTTTGAGTTCACAGAGATCCTCCTGTCTCTGCCTCCTGAGTGCTGGGATTAAAAGTGTGCACACCCTGCTGTTCATTTAAGCTTAGTGGATTTATTCACTAAAGGACTTCATAGTTATCAGTGAGCCCTGTAATGGTGACCCCCAAAGCCAGTGTTGGAAGGTTCATTTCTGGCTACTGGGTGGATCCGTAGAACTACTGTCCTCCCAAGAGGATGCTAGTTACTGGTGCTCTGGGAGCTGCTCTTAAAGCAGTTCGACAGTTCCGTGGCTGCTGGGTGCTCTTGCTTAGGCTTCCCCACCACCAGCGCTGAAAGGAACCCTGTTCCTTATCCTGGCTGGATTTTCTGCACTGAAACCTATCTAGGAGTTGGAGAGCTGTCTCAGCAGTTAACGATGCTTACTGCTTTTCCAGAGGACCTGAGTTCAATTTCCAACCCCCACGTCTGGTGGTGGCTCACAACCACCTGTAACTCCAAGAAATCTAACACCCTCTCCAGACCTTCATTCATGGGCATTTATACACATATGGTACACACACAGAGAAAGACACAAATCAGAGATTTTAAAAAATCTTTAAGGGCTGGAAAGATGGCTCAGTGGTTAAGAACACCAATTGCTCTTCCAAAGGACCCAGGTTCAAGTCCCATTACCGACATGACAACTCACAACTGTCTATAACTCCAGTTCCAGGGGATCTAATGCTCTCATGCAGGCAAAACACCAATGCAAATAAAATAAAAAAACAAGCAAATAAATCTTTAAAACCTATCTAATTCAGTTTTTCCAGAGAACAAGTCTCTCTTCTCCCGGGAGGATAGCAGGGGTGCTGGGCACATGGGTACACAGGGTAGGAGAGGAGTTCTAAGTTCAGCTTGTTTTCTTCCCCACACCTTCCTACTTTCTACCTGAGCCAGCTCCCTCAGGGGACCTGGCAGAAAGATGCCTGGCCTGCAGGTAGGACCACTCCTTGGAGGCTCTTGGGCTGGGCCTCAGTGCTGGCAGGTCAGTCATCACTCTTCCTCCTTTGTGGTTCTTTGATGTTGAGGACCTTTTCACACCCTTATTGCTGTCAGGGAGCCCGAGAGAGGAGAGATCCAAGGCAGCTGGAGGCTCACTGTCCCTTTCCTGTTACAGACGGAGCCTCCCCGGAAGAGCACCTGGAGACAGAAGCACGAGTCTTTTATCCGCACCCTCCGTCATGCTCGGCAGGTCCAGCAGGTCATTGCCAGAGGTGGGAATCCCTCAGACTTGCCCCCCATCCTGCCTGCGGAAAACCCAGACTATGTCCAGTGTCCCCACTGCAGTCGCCACTTTGCTCCCAAGGTGGCTGAACGCCACATACCCAAGTGTAAGACCATCAAGAACCGCCCCCCACCCCCGAGGAGGCACGACAGCTGAGCAGACAATGGCAGACCCGCCTTGCTTAGTTGAGGAGGCTGAGCTTCCCTTCAGCAGTAAACCAGAGCGTGAGTGGCAGAAAGCAGGGAGAAGCGGTACCTTTGCAGAACTCAGGCCCCACCTGCTGAGCCAAACCACCCCGGAGGAGAGCTCGCTACCTGGCAGGAGGCGGGTGGAAGCTCAGTTTCTCACTGGATCATAACCCTGGCTGTGTGTTTATGTTCTTGCCTGCAGGACTGGGGCGGGTGTGTGTGAGAGAGAGGACACTGGGTAGTGAGGCCGCATTAAAGCGCTCTTCTCCTGAGCCCGACCATGGTTTGTGCTGAAGTGCCTGCATTCAGTTGTGTTTTCTGACCATGGCACGTGTCCAGGGTTTCTGTTAGCCCTTCTTGCTTTTCAAAGTAGGGATAATAAAGAGGAGTGAGGTCAGAGGGTCATTGCCATACAGATGGTAACTCTTATAAAAGATAGAAGTTTGTGCCGTCAGGCATTATTGATGGAAATCTATCCTTGGCCTCCATGGCCCATGGTTCTGGCTGCTAGCCAACAAAAGTATGTAACATTAGGGGACCAGTGTATCCTTAACCTTCCCCGTGGTGTGCTGTATAATGAAACATCTTTTTGCACTTTACAGGGTAAGGATGAATAGAAAACAATTTTACTTCTCTGTACTTGTTCTTTTTAAACGCATCTCATATGTTAAAGAAAGAAGCCCCTAGGACCCTTTCAAACAATACTGCCTGGGTACCTTGAGACAGCAGAGCCAGTCTAAGCAAGCATAGACAATGTTCATTTTCATGGCCCTGTGATCGGAGCGTAGTCAGACTTCTATTTTAAACACTGAAAGGGATCAGGTCTTCTTAACAGTGAGAACACTGCTCACTTCAAGTTAGACCTTCAACTAGGGGGTTTGGGGAGCTTAGAAAGATGGGCGCTGAAGCTCTTACAAATGCTGGATATTTAGCCTGACATGCCCCCAACCCTGGCAAGTTTATTGAGGAGTACACAGTTCCTTACATCAGGTTAAAGGGAACAGATAAGCAGCCATGGCTAAAGAAGTCACAATGTTGTATCCCCATGGATGTTCACAATTTTTAAAAATTATGAGTGTTTTGACTGCACACCGGTACCTGCAGAAGTCAGAAGTGCTGGATCCCCTGGATCTGGAGTTACAGATGGTTGTGAGCCACCACGTATGTGCTAGGAACCCAGGTTCTTTGTTTCTTTGTTTTGACACAAGGTTTCTTGTGTAGCTTGGTGATCCTGAAACTCACCCTAAAGACCAGACTGGCCTTGAACTGACAGAGATCCACCACCTCTGCCTCCTGAGTGCTGGGACTAAAGGTTCTTAACCTCAGAACCATCTCTCCAGCCCCGCCCCCCCCCCCAGATGCTTTATTGTTCATATGATTTTGTTTTTTCGAGACAAGGTTTCTCTGTGTAGCCCTAGCTGTCCTGGAACTAGCTCTTATAGACCAGGCTACATGGAGGACTCACAGAGATCCGCCTGCTTCTGCCTCCCAAGTGCAGGGATTAAAGGCGTGCATCACCTTGCCCGGCCCCAGATACTTTGTCATGAAGCATTCAAAAAATATATCTTTTAAAAACCTGGTATAGGAGCATGTCTTGACACACTGGAGGCTGTAGAAACACGGGGCCGTAACCTACACAGGACACACTGGAAGGGGTTCACAATCTGCCACTCCTTCAGTTGGGAATGATAGCAAGTAAAGCCAGATTCTCTTCCTTCATCTGCTGGGCCTCTTAGACATATGGATTTGGGATCCCACAATGTTATTAGGGTCACAGTTTAGAGCCCTCAAGGGGAAACAACTGTGTGTAGGTCTTACTATAGACACAGCAGTTATTCATTCTTGAGTTGCCAAAGAAAGAAAACAAGAGCCCTTGTCTTTGTGTTCCCTTTGACCTCAGCTTTTGCCAGTCTTTTGAATTCAGCTTGCTCTGGGGAGGTCAGAGCTGTTTTACAACCTCGAGTCTCTTCCTCAGTAGAGGTCACATAGATGCTGCTTGTCAAGTTGTTGTTACTTTAAGCACATGTCATAAACATCATACATTTTAAAGTTCAAAAAGCTATGGGAAATTCTCGTGGTGAAATGCACAAGGTAGCTCTTTTTATTTAGAAGTGTGTACAGACATGCTGAGCTTTCCTAGTTCACAAAGCTTGTCAACACTGGATTGCCCTTCACGACTACACAGACTGGCAAGCAAAGCTGTGACACAGATTTTCCTCCCCGAGGCCCATGACCTGTGAGGTTTAGTGATCAGCACATTTATGTCGGCAGTTAATCACTGCGACAATAAATGACTTCTGGCCTTGTAGGGAATCTCAGTCTTGACTACAGCCCACCACACCTCCTGCTATCATGACTGATACTTCCTTTGAGGCCTGGGGACCTCATGTGAAGGACTTTCTGTAAAATACATGTTTTCCTCTGGGCTGCTCTTCCTATCATGAATGTTTCTGAACAGATAACAAACCAAATGAAATTTGAGCGTTAGGAGCCTTTTGCTTTAAGCTGCAGTGCAGCGCTCAGCCAAGAAAAGGAGCAGCTGTTACGCCAAGGATACCAAATACAACTCAGCTGTCTTGAGGAAGTCTTAGCAACAAACTGGCAGGATCACTTGGAACGGTCTCTCATCAGGACCAAGGAGGTGTGTAAAAGAAACCTGATGCCTCTTATCACTGTGCACACATGGTGTGTACAACTGCAGGCACACACACGCCAGTGTGTGAGGTCAGAGGCAGTGCTGTGATTCAGCAGGATGAACTCAGGTCACCAGGCCTGCCCAGCAAGCCACTTTGACCTGCTGAGCTACCCTGCTAGCCCAGGACCCTTCTTTTAATGTCTCCTTTTCCCCCTCTGGGCTTCCTGAATTTTTACAAACTTTGTTAGGAAAAAAAAAAAAACTATTGCAGTACAAATGATTTTTCTGGCAAGAATGAGATTGGAAAACAGCCGAGGTTGTTTCTGTGTAATGTCTCTCATTGTTTCTGTTAGAAGACCATTTTTTCATTACTACTATTTATTTAAAGTAGACTCACAGAATCAGAGATTTCCCATGGCCTAGAACCTTGGGTGTTTTTTCTCCAGTGACTGAGGTGGTGCACAGGTTTACTGAAGCACAGCGTCAGCTGAGAGTTTAAATGTTTATTTAAACAGAAATGCCACACCACTCCACCCTCACCCTTTCCAGCATCTGGCTAACAATAAGCTGGCTTTTCAGCAAAGTGTTGGCACAGAGGATTAACGCAGGCTATACTGTAACTCAAAGCAACGCTACTGGAAAGCTCCAAACACCTAGCACTGCATAGAGGACAAGCAGGGCAATTCACCAAGATTTAGCTACAGGAAACCATTTGAATACTTTTCTGCTGTCTTGTATTTTGCTCAACTCAGTGCATGGCTGCCATGTCTCACTGTTCTGCTTGCATAGCTGTTTGGTGGAAGAAACAATCTCACGGCTGTCCTAGGCACAATTCTGAAAAGTGCAAATTATCTGTAAGGCACAGAACTGAGCTTCTCAGCTGGATTAATGGCAAACCTAGACTTCCCATGGGAACACACTAGAGAAAACACCGCCATGCTCTGCTAGAGAATGACTCTCCAGGGCTCCTGCCCACCTCAACACTCACTCTCACCCCACAGTCAGCGACATGCCCATGGCCCTCAGTTCCCAAGCAAAAGCAATGCTCAGAATGAAGACTTAAGCCCCGCCTCTCAGGCCTGCTGAGATGGTAAGCGTAAGGATACAGGACCTTGAAAGGCCAGCCAGTCCTGAAGAAAACCAAAGTTGCATTGACATGATGAACCAAAACTCTCTGACAGGGATTACAGCCAACGGCCAGACCCCTAGAACTTGTGACCTTATGTCAGGATTGGGCCTTCCCTTATTCTGGGAAAAGGCTTCAGTGATTACATCAGTACTATTGTACTAGGCTTCTCAGAATTGAGAAAACAATGGGACATCAATGATCCCATCAGACAGAGTTGCCCATCCCCCAGAGATGGGGCTTCCTCCCAGCACCAGCCTTTATACCGCTGGTTTAGGGAAATGGCAAAAATTTCTTCTGCACAGGTAGGTCCTCCTGCAATATTAAAATAGATAGCAAACTTTTCTTTTTTTGCTTTGGTTAAAGGAAACAATATTAGTTTAGCTGTATGTAGCATGGAGGATGTGGTACTTATCAAAGCAGCTGCTGTGGCCCCAAACACAAGCAATTCATTAGACTTGGTGGAAGCACAAGGCTCACATTTAAGGGAAACCATCAGATGCTTGCCTAGAAGGTTGGCTCTTCTAGGACACAATCCTGTTTTTGGAAAAGGTAGCTTGCTCCTCTCAATAAGAACACAGCAGAAGTGAGCTTGCAGCCAGTTTCCTTTCACTTGGCAGGTTCTACCTGTCAAGTTTTGGGACCCCAAGGATTTGGTGCTGGCTTTGGGCACTCAAGTATGAAAGAGATACTGACTTACTGGGTATGATATGTCTTCAAAACACACCAAAGAGGAAAAATACTGACTAGACATAGAAAGAGGGTGCCTGGGGCTACTTATCCCAGTCAGACCCCTAAAGGTCACGACACTAGAAGTACAAAGAAGCCTTCACAGGGGCAGAAGACTTTAGTGCCACCGAGGCAAGGCACTGAGGGAAGTGTTAGCGTCCCTCCTGCGGATCTATAGCTCCATCTATTACCCACTGGTGTTATTTTCTTAGACATCTCCTCTCTGGGAGGAATCCTTCAGAGCTGGGAAATCCCACCTTGTACTAACCGTAGCCTGAAAGTTTGGCTGTGTGACGAGGGACCTGCCCTTTCTCTGCTTCTCACTGATGTTTCAAGGAGCCTCCACAGGGAACGCAATCTAAGCTTCCCCATAAAGCAGTCGGCTGCATGAAGCAACAACTTCCTGAACACTAGACTGACTCTGCCAAGAAATTTTCCTGGACTCCAGGCTTCTGAGAAGACATGGATACTTTACCACTCTCGGGAGGACCCTGGGCAGGCCAGGCCTGGCCACAGCCCACTCCGATTTTACATTTTCCCTTCCTTCACCCAGAGGTGCGATGCCTGATGTTAAAATCCGAAGGCAACTTCCAATTTATGATGAAAATGATAAATGGGATATGAGGTGCTACCAGCGCAAACAAGGTGAGTACTGTGTCTCTTCTTCAAAGGTGGGATCAAAAGATGAGGTACAGAGCTGCTGTTGCTATGGCAGTCACTGATGACAAAGCCAGGGCCACAGGACCCTTCCATTCTCCGAAACAATAATATCACTCCTAGATCCTATCTAAAAGGCAATGCCACTCTCCAAATGCACAAGGAAAGTGCTTTAGAGCCTCCCTCTGCCCTGCGCTCCGTGTCTGCAAGTGAACAAAGCCAGGAAAGCTGCTCTCTGCACTCGGTAAGTGTGCGGTGAAGTTCTTTGGGTCCCAGTTTCCTGAGGGCTATGTGGGTTCAGGAGACTAGAGGCTGGGTCGACAAGAGTCTGTTCCAAGGAGGCACCAGGAATCCGAATCTAAGTCAGGCTTCGGATCCACTTCCATTTCTTCCTTTGCTGTCTGAGTTCCTTTGGAATGCAACCCCACCTGTCCAGACAAAGCAGTTTCACATTAGCAGTGAATGAGTTAGCACTGGCCACAGTACTTCAGGAGTGGCTGCCAGTTGCGGAAGGCTCTGGTGGCACTGCCTTGGAAACAGTCTCCATCTTTACATTTACGCAGGTAGCGTAACTACTTCTGGTTTGCCTAGGCCCATGGGGTTGGGGTATTAGTATGAAAATAAAATGGCTGGGGGTCGTAGTGTACACCTCTAATCCCAGCACTCAGGAGGCAGAAGCAGGAAGATCTGTCTCTATGAGTTTGAAGTCACCCTGGGTCTATATAATGAGTTTCAGACCAGCTAGGGCTATATAGTGAGATCCTGTCTCAAAAAACAAAAACAAAAAACAACCCTCTCCCCCCATCACCACCATCAGTCCTGTGCCTGCTACCACGCCAATCTTATCTCAGGAATGGACATTACCTTCTGAAGTGTTTCATAGACACTGTTTCCCTCCATCTTCTAAACAACTTACATAGAGCAGGTTGTTGACAAAGTTACGAGTCCAGACTCACATAAGACAAAGCCAAGGAAGGATTCTTCCTCACTCATACCAGGAAAATGCAAAACGTTTTCCCCAACTATTTAACCTGAACTCAATAAAGCCATAATTCTAACTTAGTTTTCAGAAAAGAGCATGAGTGTGCCCATGCCACTCTCTGCAGGGAAGAGGACAACCCTTGCTTGGGAGATTGTCAGGTCTATATGACAAGTACTTTACTTAGCTGAGCCATTTCCCCAGTCCTAC